TCCCCAGGTAGAAACCCCTTACCCAGGTAAGTGATGCAAGTCATGTAAGCAGAGGGAGCAGGTTTTCCCCCTCCCTCAAGAATGCAGCCAGCTCCAGTTCCCTAAAGAGACAGGCTGAGGGTGTGGTCCCCTGTGTGCTGGGCCCATCCTAACTGAATGGTCACAGCACAGAGATTTAAATCACAGTGTCACAGGGCAGAGATTTTTGGGGAGAAACCAAGGTGGCTTTCTGCCACATGGCCTTTCTCCTATGCTCAGTCTTACCCATAAGTCACATCAGAAAAACATTATCCTTTTTTTCACTAGGGGAAAAAAGGTTTGATTTCATATGTTTTACATAACACATGTTAACTAAAACCTGTTGAAATCTGAAGGTAGATGAAACAGTTTTAACTTTCATACGGGCTAACTGATGATAGAAAATACTGGGCTGTAATCTTTGACTTGATAACAAAATGTTACCATCTTCATCCAGTTTCATAAATATTATTTTAGTTCATGCTGATTCTGAAAAGAAAATGCTTTATACTGTATTAGATCCTTCAGAAAACAGTGTCACTTACTAGCAATAAAATACAGTTTTTCAGGGTATAGTACCTATGCACCATAAGGGGATAACAATGCAAATAAAGATTTCATGTACAATACTTCTGTAACATATATTATAAAAGCATGTCCATACTTAGATCCACTTAAACGAGACTGCTGTATAAATTAACAATCGGTTGGATTCAGAAAGTTTTATAATAAATAGCTGGTTTTGGTTCAGGTGAATTTTAATGATGGCTTGACATCCCTATTAGCTGTTTTGTTGCTTTTGGTTAGAAAAATACTGAATATGAGCTTTACTGTCTTAAACCAATTTTCATTATTTATGGAAGTTCATGATTTGTATTATCTCATTTTTTCCTGCAAATATAAAAAATCAACTAATGAAAACTGGACATGCTCAGGATCTGTGGAATTAATTAATACTCTATGGCAGCAGTTCTCAATCTGTGGTATGTGTACCACCGGTGATATGCAGACAACCTGTCAGTGGTATGTGTTAACAGATTTATTATAATTATTTTATATAACAAAAATTTGCAGGTGTTACTTAAGGTTGAACTGAAAAAATTGCTGGTGGTACTTAAGGTTGTATCTAGTTAAACTGGTGGTATGCAATCTGTCAGAGTTTGGAAACTGCTGCTCTATGGAAAAAAGGGGACTATGTCATAGGAATGGTTTATTAATTCTCAGTGAGCTAATAAAAATGGTCATTGAGAATGTAGCTTACTTTTTCTACTTGATATTACTGCAGTAGCACTGAGGATCCTCTGTCATGAACCAGTCTGTGGAAATAATGAACAAAATAGCCCATCGGTACTCCAGCAAGCTTACAATCTAAGTATAAGGCAGAATGCAACAGGTAGATGTGACAGATGAGGGAAGAACATGGGCGCAATGAGGTAATTCTAGACCAGGGGTATCAAACATATGGCCCACAGGCTGAACCTGGACTCTCAAGTTGTCTGATCTGGCCCGTGGTTCTCTGCACTGACCATACACATTGGCCTCAGCCTCATGGGGCATGTGGACCGCATTCACCTCATGCAGTACAAGAGGTCATTCCAGGGCACTCACTGCCAGACTGGCTCTGTGCACTGGCTCCGGGGCTGGTCGAGACTGGGCCATGCCAGAGCCAG